TGGTCAATAAAAAAGTGCGCGAAGTAAGGACCCGCGCGTGGGGTTCTGATACGCGTGTGTGGTCCTGCAGGGCCCACGCGTGTGTCACCACTGTTTTGTCAGAATGTAATTGTATGCATTACTATAACTGCCTGTAGTGTAGACCTAGTGTAGTTATATCGCTTTCATGTTAGGTGGTGCACCCTTTTCCTTCACTATATCTTGTACAACATTCCATAGTGAAACCCCCATTTCTCTCGACTTTCTCCTCTCCAACTTGCTCGATACTCAACTCACTCGATCTACTAGCTATGGCTCCTAAGCCTTCCTAGCAACTTTTCACATGTTTCGATCGTGCACATTGCGCACGATCGATACAGGACGGAGCGACATGATCGCTCCGTCATGTGAAGAGAATGAGGAATGATGGACTAGGAAATGAGTTGGGTATAAATATGTAACCCTAGAAAACTGTACCCCATACTGTCTACCCCACTACAGCCTAGAAAGACTATAACATAAATGTTTGACACACCCCCATAGGCAAAGTGGGGGAGAACAAGGGGTCACAAGACCAGTCAAGCAAGGCAAGCTCAGGGTGGATCACAACGTCACCACACATTCCGAGCACAAGTTAAAGGCCACAAGGCCAGTTCACATGCAGGATTATATATAAAGGAAAACAAGCAAGTGCAGGTATAGATAGATCACAGTACAAGCAAGGTCAAGAAGTGAGCAAGTGAGGCCAAGTAGGCACAAGACCTAGCATCGTACAAAAGCGCTGATGATCACAAGGCTGAAGTGCCTTGGTAAAGATATCAGCAGTGTTGGCCCAAGAGGCCACGTAAGCAAGGCACAGCTGAACACGCTGCTGCAGCTCACGAGCAAGGAAGGAGCGAAGAGCAATGTGCTTCGTTCTGTGCTCCAGTCTGTGCTCCCGACACAAGGCCAGCATGGCCTTGTTGTCTACGTACAGAACTGGAGGAGAACGAGGCGGCTCTCCTAGGTCAGCAGGCGGGTGAGCTAGCGTAGCTCCTGTGCAGCCATGGCCCCTGCGTAGATCTCAGCCTCACACCTGGAGCCAAGAACAAAAGACGAGCAGGTAGAACGCCACAAAACAGAGCCGAAACCAAGGCTGAAGGTGTAACCCTGTGACGACCGCTGCGTAGCCTAGTCGTCAGCCCAAGAAGCGTCTGCGTGACCAGTGAGGACCACTGAACGCCGCCCTCCAAGCACGAGCCCCATGCCCGACATACTACACAAGTAGCGCAACACCCTCTTCGCTGCAGCCATGTGCTCTGGTCGGTGTCTCCCAGGAGCAACATAGCGTGCCAAGATGCTAAGAGGGTATGCAAGTACATGAGGCAGCCAACAAGCTCTGGGTATGGGCCACTCGGCTCTACGGACTCATCCGAAGGCAGAGCTGAGAGCAAGTGGCGAGTAGACAGAGGAGTGGCCTGAGGCGAGGAGTACGTGAAGTCGAAGCGCTGAAGGACCTGCTGCACCATGTGTGACTGAGTCAGGGTAATGGTGCACTGCGCTCTGTCCCGAGTGATCTGCAAGCCAAGGTAGCTGCGCAGTTCACCTAGGTATGTGCACGTGTGTCTCTTCTGCAGCTCGGACTTCACGTGGGCGAGTCCAGCAGTGTCAGAAGTAGCAAAGACCAAGTCGTCGACGTACACGAGGATGTAGAACGGCGGCAAAGAGGTGTCGGTGCGTAGAAACAGAGACGGGTTGGCAGTAGAAGGAGCAAACCCAAGAGCCGAAAGAGTAGTCCTCAGTGTGTTGTGCCACTCACGGGGCACCGGGCGGAGACCGTAGACTGGCCGCCGGAGGCTCCACTGGGTACCAGGAGGAAACGACCAAGTGAAGCCAGGTGGGCGGCGCAGCCAGATCTCCTCGTGCAGGCTACCCTGTAGGAAAGCAGTGCTGAAGTCAAGAGAGTGAAGCTCGTAGTCGCGCTGAGCGGCTATGTGCAGCAGCACCCGAAGAGTGGTCATCTTCGGGGTGGGAGAGAAGGTCTGAAAGTAGTCAACTCCCTGCCGCTGACTGAAGACTCAAGCCACGTAACGTGCCTTGAAGACAGGCGGAGAACCCGGCGGCCGCTTCACCCTGAAAATCCACATGCCGCTAACGATGTTCGCCCTAGGAGGCGGAACCTCGTCGACGTAGGTGCCTGTGGACTTCCAGGAAGCCATCTTTGCGTCCATGGCTGACTGCCACTAAGAGGAGTAGGGACCCTCTATAGCCTCCGCGTAAGAGCGCGGAGTCGGGATGTCTGGTGCATCCGGGTCTCCCTCAGGGGCAATCAGCATGGACACGAGATGAGGCAAAGCAGCAGCAAAATACTGGAACTCCTTCTGCCTGTCCTCAAGGACGTCCGTGCTAAGAGCACACTCACCCTCGACGGACGGAGGACAGACAGACTCATACTCAGCAACTAGACTAGCAGCGTAGTCAAGACGACATCGAGCAGCGACGTCGACAAGCTCAGCAACTAGGGAAGACGCAGCAGTGGACTCAAAGGGTCAGTGAAAACAGTAGCCAGTAGACGCGTGACAGTCGGGCTGGCAGCACGAAGATAGTCAGACTCCGGGTCAGCAAGAGCAGGAAGAGAGGACTCTGGAGGAGATGGCAAAGGGATACGCAGTGGAGCAGTGGAGGGACGCAGTGCCATCTGGTGTGTGCCCGGGACCGCAGGAGGACGCGGACGCGGAACACGACGACTAGTGCGAGCAACACGAACAGGCGACGCAGGACGAGACGCAGGCGCACGACGCTCAGCAAGACCTCCAGTAGGACTAGTGTAGGGAGAAGGAGCAAGCACGGGGGAGGCGGGCTGTAACTGTGACTCTGACTGGACAGGCAGTGGACACTCTAAGGAAGGAGCAGGACCAGTAGAGGGCGGAAGACCAAGAACCTGCTCAAGGAGCCGAACGAAGTACGGCCGTGGCCGCGTAGTGCTTCCAGAACCAGCAGGTACACCACCACCACCCTCAGCGGTAGCACCTGCGCTAGTAGCACCCCCAGCTCCAGCAGGGCCAACTCCAGCACCCCCAAAAGCACCAGCGCCAGCAGCACCTACAGCGCCAACGCCCCCTGTAGCTCCAGCTCCAGCTGGACCAACAAGGCTCAACAGCTCCAGCTCCAGTAGCTCCAGCAGCACCTACCCTAACAGCCCCGCCAGCTCCAGCACCGCCAACAGCTCCAGTACAAGGAGTACCCCCAGGCCCAGCAGCTCCAGCACCTCGAGTACGAGCACCTCTGGGACCCGTGGCACCAACACCCTCAGCAGCAGTAGAACCTCCAGGTCGAGCAGCACCTCCAGCTCCAGCAGCACGGCTCCAGCGCCGAGCAAACCACTCGCGCAGCTCCTAGGGAGAGGGTAGCTCCCGCCGGGATGAAGCACCCGAAGGACCTGCAGACCCAGTACCGCCAGACTCCACACAAGTAGGCCCAGCACACTTAGGCTCCACACCCTTAGTCGCAGCACCCCCAGGCTCAGCACCTCCAGACGCAGCACCCCCAGGCTCAACACCCTCAGGCTTCGCACGCACAGGCTCTGCACCCCCAGGCTCAGCACCCCCAGACCCCACACCCGCAGGCCCAGCACCCCTAGCAGCTCTAGAGTCAAAAGCTACCTCAACAGGCTCTAGCGCATCTACCTGAGACACACCTGAGGGGGCAGGACCCTGAGGGGGAAGGGGGTCTACTAGGGGGGGACCTGGAGCCAGGAAGAGCGGCGGCGGCGGAAGGGGTGCAGTGCGGTAGAGGAAGAGACGGTAGTAAAGAACCGGCTCGTCAAACGTGACGTCCTGGGAGGACAGAACACGGCGCGAGGTGGGGTGGTAAAACTGCCAACCAGGCGCGTCAGGGGGGAAGCCAAGGAAGATGCAGGGAACAACACGGGGGGACAGCTTGTCGACATACAAGTCGCGGCCAAAGGCCTGAGATCCCCACACACGAAACGCAAACGCATCGCCAACCTTCCCCGTCCACCGCAGAGTAGGGGAGGTCTCCGACAAGGAGACCCAGGGCTGAAGGTTGATCTGATGCGCCGCGTACTGAACCGCGAACGGCCACAGAAAATGGGGAGCAGCCGCATGGATCATGGACATACGAGCGACGTCCATGACCATGCCAATGCGGCGCTCAGCAATCCCATTTTGCTGTGGGGAGGCCGGAAGCGTGAACGTCTGGCGGATGCCTCGTGCACGATAGAAGGCTCGCAGAAGGTCAGAGGAAACCTCTGAGGAGTGAGGAGCGGCGCGCTGCCGCCCCTGGACGCAGGAAACGAAGGTAGGGGCAGGCCCCGGAGGAAGAGGAGGGAGGGACCGGGGGAGGCCAGAGACAAGGACACGGGAGGCCATGCCTTGGAGACAAGGCAGGGAGGGGTGACCAAGGCGGTGGTGCCAGAGGAGAGTCTGGTGAGACAGGAGACGACACGAGCAGGGGGCAGACTCAGGACCAAACCTGGACGCTGCAGCAAACATCTAACCCGACGCAGCTACCTGACCAGACGCAGCAACCGGAGGAGACTCAGTAGTCAGTGTGTACAGGCTCGACCCTAGCTGACGGGTAAACGTGGCCAAGTGTCGGCCCGTCCGAGCGTCCGTGCAGTGGGTCACTCGCTGACTCGCAGGAGAGAACTGGTCGACCCCCCCATACTGTAGATCAGCACCACTCACCAAGTTCGTAGAGAACGAGGGGAGGTAAAGACCTGACAGGGTGCCAGAAGGGGCCGTCGGACACGGTAAGACAGTGGAGAAATGGGCAAGGACAGGACCCCCAGGGGGGTTTGCCAGGGAGACTACAACCGGCCGACGATGCGGAGTGAGTGTGGTGCGGTCTCGAAAGAAGGAGCGGGAAGCACGCGAGTCAAGGGTGAAGGTGTGCAAGGCCTGAGCCGACGTGTTACCTAGCAGCATAATCAAGATCAAAGATAGAAACCCCCGACCTAAGCAGCTCGCCCCAGCGAGGGATCTCAGTGGCGTCAGGGAACTGGAGATGCCAGGTGTCCATCAGGCGGCCGAAGCAGCGCTGGGTGGTGTGCGGGCCACCGCACGGCTCACCAGTGCGGTCGCCGGTACGCAGGACGTAGGCACAGGGACCAGCACCCCCACCCCGCTGACGCGCAGCGTACCACTCACGAAGCTGCTGGGGGGCGGGGTCTCACGAGTGCGCTGCTGCTGCTGGCGCTGACCACCACCGAAGCCGCCCAGCTGCACAGCGCCACCCCGACCAGCTCCACCGCCGCCGCCGCCACCGCCGCCACCGCCGCCTCCTCCGCTCCCACCGTCACCGCCGCCCCACCCTCCGCCTCCACCGCCGCCACCGAAGCCCCCACCCCCGCCACCACTCCCACCGCCACCCCCATTCCCTCCGCCGCCTCCACCGCCACCTCCACCGTCCCCGCAAGCCCCTCGAGCGCCTTTGCCCCCCTTGCCCTTGCCATTGCGGCGTCTCCCGCTAGGGGCAGATGCAGCGCCGATCGACTCAGTGCCAACGAGGTTGACCGCAGCAGCAGAGGCAACAGAGGGCAAAAGGGGGGAGGGGAAGCACCCCTGAAAGAAGGGGGCACAAGGGTCACCACGAGAGGCTCCTACAGCTACTATACTCTTCTCAGCTGCCAGGAGGCGCTCCTCGAGGAGGTCAACGGTGAGTGTGGTGGGGCAAACAGAGAGGAATCGGTCCCTGACCGAGCGAAGGGAGTCAAGGAGCCGGGTGACTAGGTAGTAAAGGGTGATGTACATGGGGGGGGGGGGGGGGGGGGTTCTTGGCGCGGAACTCAGCAGGAAGCGCAGCGCGGTAGCGGGTGTCACTAGTGCGAAGGTGTGTAATGAGGTCAGCGACTGTGGGAAAGGCGGCTAGGTCAGGGAACAGGTACGGCAGCATGATGCGGCTAAGATCAGAAGTGGCAGGGGAAGAGTAGCGTGCAATGACAGCGTCGTACAAGGTCTTAGCACTCTTGTACTGACTAAAGTGCGCGCGCTCAGTGGACGGCGAGTGACTACGCACAGCAAGACGGGCAGCAGCATCGCGTGTGGCCCACTGTGAGCGAACAGTGCTGTCACCATCGGTAGCAAGGGCAGCAAAGGCGCCAGACATGAGATCAAACAGTGAGAGAGCGTCTTTTCTATCGTACTGCAGCAAAAGCTGTAGATCATTTACCCAGACCTCAAATTCGACAGCCCGACCCTCAGCATCAAAGGTGAGAACACTAGGGGTAGCCATGACAGCAGCAGCAGCAGGCTAGCAACAGCACTGGCAGGCTAGGAGCAGCTCAGTAGCAGAGGTGCGGCTCGGCGGTGCTCTTACCAGGGCGGGTGGGTAGAGTTCCGCAAGTGGTGGGGCAGGGCCGAGGCGCGCCGGCAGGGACAGGGCCGCGACAGGGCGGCAAAGAAGAGCCGCGCCTCAGCTGCAGGGCACGGCCGGGACGGCGGCGGCGGCTGTCACGGCAGCGGCGGCGGCTGCTGTTGTCGGCGGCGGCGGCGGCTGCAGCCCCGGCAGCGGCGGCGGCGGCGGCGGCTGTCACGGCAACGGCGGCAGCGGTTGCTGCTGTCGGCGGTGGCGGCTGTCACACCAGCGGCGGCGGTGGCTGCTGCTGTCGGCGGCAGCGGCGGCGGCTGCGGCCCCGGCAGCGGCGGCGGCGGCTGTCACGGCGCGACGGCAGCTGCTGCTGGGGCGGCGACGGCGGGGCGGCACGGCCATGAAGAGCCGGAGAGGGGCCGTGAAGGGGCCGCGACGAGCCGCGAAGGGGCCGTGCAGGGCCGTGGAGGAGCCACAAAGGGGTCGCTAAGGGCGGCGAAGGGGCCGAGAAGGGGCCGCGAAGGGCCGTGAAGGGGCCGCGAAGGGCGGCGACGGGGCCGAGAAGGGGCCGCGAGGGGCCGCGAAGGGCGGCGACGGGGTCGAGAAGGGGCCGCGAGGGGCCACGAAGGGGCCACGAGGGGCCGCGAAGAGAGGCGAAGGGGCCGCGAGGGGCCGCGAAGGGCCGTGAGAGGGGCCGCGACGGGGCCTTAAGAGGGTGCGACGGGCCGCTAAGGGCAGGGGATGCGACGGGAGGGCAGGCACATGGGGCGCGACTAGGGCAGGGGCGAAGTGCGCTCCGGGCAGGTAAAAAAAAAAATTTCGCTTTCGTGGTGGGCCCTAGGAAACGTTCCCACTAGTGAACCTGCTCTATACCATGTAAAGAGAATGAGGAATGATGGACTAGGAAATGAGTTGGGTATAAATATGTAACCCAAGAAAATTGTACCCCATACTATCTACCCCACTACAGCCTAGAAAGACTATACCATAAATGTTTGACACGTCACGCGCAGGACAACGCACGATCGCGTGAGCGATCGTCTTGTCCTGCACGACCGAGAAATATCTTGGTCGTGATGAGGGGCACGTGGGGCACGCAAGACTTCGCAGTTGACTAACGGAATTTTTGCGCTGACTCGGCGAGCAAGAAAATTTGCGAGAAAGTCGCGCTGCTTTGCGTCATTATTTCGATATAGGTACAAAACGGTAAAATCCGTTCGTAACTGAAAAACAGGAATCTCACACGGGCCTTCATGATCTCACACGAGTAAACATGAATGTTCGCGAGGAGAGTCAGTAGGAGAATTTGGTAGCAGTGCAGGTTGAAGACAGTTTTTCTACTGCGGCAAATCAAGCCAAATTCTAAAGCAGTTTTACAACCGTTTTTCAGTGACAGCAAAGCAAAGACCTGGATGACAGTTATGAGAAGAAACGAGAATGAATGACTAAGGAATGAAAGTGATACAAGTATGCAACCTTAGAATTGTGTACCCCATATAGGCTACCCCACTACAGCCTACACAACATTATAATTTGACACACCCCCATAGGCAAAGTGGGGGAGAACAAGGGGTCACAAGACCAATCAAGCAGAGGAAGGGGAGGGAGGGACCGGGGAAGACCAGAGACAAGGACACGGGAGGCCATGCTTCGGAGATGAAGCAGGGAGGGGTGACCAAGGCGGTGGTGCCAGAGGAGAGTCTCGTGAGACAGGAGGCGACACGAGCAGGGGGCAGACTCAGGACCAGACCTGGACGCTGCAGCTAACACCTGACTCGACGCAGCTACCTGACCAGACGCAGGGACTGGAGGAGACGCAGTGGTCAGTGTGTACAGGCTCGACCCCGGCCGACGTGTAAACGTGGCCAGGTGTCCACCTGTCTGAGCGTCCGTGCAGTGGGTCACCCGCTGACTCGCAGGAGTGAACTGGTGAACCCCCGCATCGTGTAGGTCAGCACCACTCACCAAGTTCGTAGAGAACAAGGGGAGGTAAAGACCAGACAGGGTGCCAGAGGGGGCCACCGGACACGGGAGGACAGTGGAGAAGTGAGCAAGGACAGGACCCCTAGAGGGGTCTGCCATGGAGACTACGACTGGCCGACCAAGCGGCGTGAGTGTGGTGCGGTCTCGAAAGAAGGAGCGAGAAGCCCCCGAGTCAAGTGTGAAGGTGTGGGAGGCCGAAGCCAACGCACTACCTGAGAGCGCAGACTCACCAGTACCGGAGGAAGCAGACGCACTAGCACCTAGAGCAGCAGCCTCGCTAGCACCAAGAGCAGCAGCCTCACCAGCACCTTGAGCAGCAGTCGCAATGCCCGGGTCGGGCGGGAAACACCGGTAACAGTCAAACTCCTCACTAATAGACACAGTATACGTAGCAGCAAGAATAGCATCAAAGTCAAGGTCAAAGATAGCTACCCCTGCCCTAGACAGCTCGCCCCAGCGAGGGATCTCAGTGGCCTCAGGGAACTGGTGACGCCAAGCGTCCGTCAGGCGGCCAAAGCAGCGCTGGGTGGGGTGCGCACCCCCACACTGCTCACCCGCACGGTCGCCAGTGCGCAGGACGTAGGTGCACGGACCAGTACCCTCACCCCGCTGGCGTGCAGAGTACCACTCACGGAGCTGCTGAGGGGACAGGGGCTCCCGACTGCGCTGCTGCTGCTGGCGCTGACCACCACCGTAGCCACTCCTCTGCGAAGAACCACGACCTCCTCCTCCTCCTCCTCCGCCACCGCCTCCTCCACCTCCGCTACCTCCACCACCTCCGCTCCCACCGCCACCGCCGCCGCCGCCTCCGCCTCCACTACCGCCGCCGACACCTCCACCCCCGCCACCACTCCCACCACCACTCCCACCCCCTCCACTGCCTCCACCGCCGCCTCCACCGCCCCCGCTAGCTCCTCCAGCGCCCCTGCCCCCCTTGCCCTTGCCAGACCGACGCTTCCCACTAAGGGTAGACGCCGCACCGACCGACTCCAGACCAACGAGGTCGGCCGCAGCAGCAGAGGCAATAGAGGGCAAGAGAGGGGAGGGGGAACACCCCTCAAAGATGGGGAGTAGCGTGCAACTACAGCGTCGTACAAGGTCTGAGCACTCTTGTACTGGCTAAAGTGCGCACGCTCAGAGGTAGGAAGGTGGCGACGCACAGCAAGACGTGCAGCAGCATCGCGCGTGGCCCACTGTGAGCGAACAGTGGCGTCAGCATCAGGAGCAGGGGCAGGAGAGGCACCAGAGGTGAGGTCAAAGAGAGAGAGTCCGTCTGCCCTATCGCACTGTAAGAAAAGCTGCAGGTCATCTATCCAGACGTCAAAGTCAATGGCCCTACCCTCAGCGTCAAAAGCGAGGACACTAGGGGTAGCCATGAGAGAAGTAGACTAGCAGCGCAAACAGTAGGGTAAGGGCAGTGCAGAGAAAGAGGCGCTGCTCTTACCGGAGAGGGCGGCTCGAGCGACTCGGCAGTGCGGGCGGCTCGGCTGCTGGGCGGCTCGGCTGCTGGGCGGCTCGGCTGCTGGGCGGCTCGGCTGCTGGGCGGCTCGGTTGCTGGGCGGCTCGGCTGCTGGGGGGCTCGGCTGCTGGGCGGCTCGGCTGCTGGGCGGCTCGGCAGCTGGGTGGCTCGGCTTCTGGGCAGCTCGGCGGCTCGGCGGCTGGGTGGCTCTGGGGGTGGTTGGCTCTGCAACTCGGCTGCTGGGCGGCTGGGCTGCTCGGCGGTTCGGCTGCAGGGCGGCGCGGCTGTCGACTGCTCGGCTGGGTATGGCGGTTGGGGTAGCTCGGGTGGCGGGCGGCGCTGCAGCAGGCGACGGGGCCGCAGGTAAGGGCGGCGGGGCCGCAGGTAAGGTGGCGGGGCCGCAGGTAAGGTGGCGGGGCCGTAGGTAAGGTGGCGGGGCCGCAGCGAAGGGCGGCGGGGCCGCAGGTATGGTGGCGGGGCCGCAGGTAAGGTGGCGGGGCCGCAGCAGCAGGCGACGGGGCCGCAGGTAAGGGCGGCGGGGCCGGCGGTAAGGGCGGCGGGGCCGCAGTGAAGGGCGGCGGGTCCGCAGCAAGGTGGCGGGGCCGCAGCGAAGGGCGGCGGGGCCGCAGCAAGGTGGCGGGGCCGCAGCAAAGGGCGGCGGGGCCGCGGTAAGGGCGGCGGGGCCGCAGGTAAGGGCGGCGGGGCCGCAGGTAAGGGCGGCGGGGCCGCAGGTAAGGGCGGCAGGGCCGTAGGTAAGGGCGGCGGGGCCGCTGGTAGGGTGGCGCGCCCGCAGGTAGGTGGCAGGGCCGCGGGTGAGGGCGGCGCGAGGGGCCGCGGAGGTCGGCGGCGTGCCGTTACGGGCGGCGCAAGGGCGGCGACGGGCCGCTGAGGGTGGCGACGGGCCGAGTAGGGCGGCGTCAGGCCGTGAAGGGCGGCGACGGGCCGAGTAAGGGCGGCGCGAGGGAGGCCGCTAGGGGCGACGCGACGGGGCCGAAGGAGGCCTAGGACGGGCGCGACGGTAGAGAGGGCACACGAGGCACGACTCGGGCCTAAGCAAAGTGCGCTACGGGCAGGAAAAAAAAATTTCGACTTGGTGGGCCCTAGGAACAGTTCCCACGAGGGAACCTGCTCTGATACCATGAGAAGAAACGAGAATGAATAAGGAATGAAAGTGATACAAGTATGCAACCTTAGAATTGTGTACCCCATATAGGCTACCCCACTACAGCCTACACAACATTATAATTTGACAAGTTAGACAACTGGTTTGTGTGTTTTCCTTTGTGTACCTAGGACCTCTCTTGTATGTGTGCTTGTATTTGCTTTCATCAACAATGCTTTCATGATTTCAAGCTTA